AGTGCAAGCATTGTCGTCAGTAATATGTACGTCAAGCACGCCTTGCAGCATGCAGTGCAATGCTCGAGTCCGATTTGATTTGTACACTTTTCTTACGCATCCATGAACATTATATGCTGACCTGCACGTTTCACAGAGCAAGATGGCGGAAGTCATCATCAACCCTCCCGACTCCCCGGCGGAGAGGGTTCGAGACGTTACTCAGTACCTTTACCCGGATATTCTCCTGCTGGTTTTTATCGTCATCGGCGCCACACACTCCGTCTACACTGCTATGCGTAAGGACGATGTAGTCGTGCCTACTATCCGAGGTCCAGGCGGCAAGCCGCTTCCCGTCACCAAGAGAAGATTGTCCGACGACGACGCATCGGACCCTAATGATTTCAGTCCACATGCCAGGAGGTTTTTCCAGTTTTCCATGGTTATAGCAACCTTGACCTTTCTTGCTGCGGGCGGCGCAATTGCTGCCCGTGCTCTGATTCATAGGAGCGCAGACGGTGAACATGGCTGGTGGTGCGGCGAACCGAAAACCGTAAGTAATTTTTCGGTTTGCTTTGCTCTAATTTTCCGTCCTACAGGTAAAATTCATTATATTGAGACATTTTTTTTTGACTTTGTGAAAATTATAGGTCTTCGTCCTTGGATCGGCATTTCTTTATGTGTATTTGACTTTGACCATGTTTGACTGGAAAAGCAGCCCGAGCCTGGTCCATATCCTTACTTGGAGCTTTGCTCTCGTTGGGGAAATCATCATCTTCGTTTGCGATGCGGTCGTCTTATCCCGCCCCCACAAAGTCATGGTTAACCTCAGTCGCGAAAAGTACGTGATTGTAGTTGGCATCGACAAGTGGGATATGATTGACCTCGGCTTATCCCTCGGAAGAATCGCCACCCTTATCGGCATGATCCTAGTTTATTATACCATTATCCTTCTAAGAAACCGGGCGCAGCCAGAGAAATACGAACAGGGACATGAATATGATTACGAGGCTGACGAATCCACACCCCTCCTAAATGGCGATGCCAATGGCTACCGTACCAATGGGCACGCTTCCCGCCCGGGCGCAAACGGTGCCGCAAACGGTAACGCCAATGGCAATGCCGATGCGAGCCACCCCATGGTTGACGAAGACGCTGGATTCTACCGCCCGGAAAAGCTACCGCATACAACTTGGTTTGAATATCTCCGGGGTTATTCCGTCTTTTTCCCGTACATGTGGCCTACCAAGCAGCTGCGGCTTCAGATTATCGTGGTAGTATGCTTTGTCCTGCTAGTTCTTCAGCGGATGGTGAACATTATGGTTCCTTACCAGATCGGTGCCGTCACGAATCAGCTTTCCGGCGACGATCTCAAGGAGGGCGAGAAGCACACTATGCCGTGGCTCTCGCTCGGTTTACTTATTGTGTATAAGCTACTGCAGGGTCCGTCTGGGCTTTTGGGGTCTTTAAGATCTCTGCTATGGATTCCTGTTTCCCAGCACACCTACCGAGCTCTTACCACGTCGGCATTCGAGCACGTGCATTCCCTGAGCCTTGATTTCCATCTAGGCAAGAGGACCGGCGAGGTTTTATCCGCATTGAACAAGGGCTCTTCGGTCAATTCCTTTCTCGAACAAGTCACATTCCAGGTCTTTCCGATGCTCATCGACTTGTTTGTAGCTATAAGCTACTTCTACGTCAAGTTTGATGCCGTCTACGCCGTCATCGTTTGCGCAATAACATTCTATTATTTGTTTTTGACCATACGAATGGCGTCCAAGACTGCCGACCAGAGGCGAGCAATGTCCAACGCGGATAGGGAAGAAGAAGCAGTCAAGAATGACTCCATCATCTCGTACGAGACGGTCAAGTATTTCAACGCAGAAGACTTCGAGTTTAATCGGTACAGAGAGGCCATAAATAATTTCCAAGTCGCCGAGGCCAAGGTCACGTGGAGTATAAGTACCATGAATATCTGCCAGTCCTTGGTCTTCATGATAGGGATGTTGGTTACCATGATGCTTGGAGCGTACCAGGTTACAATGGGTAGCCGAAAAGTGGGTGACTTTGTTACATTGATGATCTATCTGGGCCAGCTCCAGGGTCCGCTCAACTTCTTCGGCACATTCTACCGTACCGTCCAGCAAGCCATGATCTCCGGGGAACGCCTTCTAGAGCTCTTCAAGCAGCGCCCGACAGTGGTTAATCGTCCCGGCGCCGTTGACGTCACTTCGTGTGAGGGGCGTGTCGAATTTTCTAAGGTCAAATTCGCATACGACAAGAGGAAGCCTGCGCTAAGGAACCTCACCTTCACATGCGAGCCCGGCACGACCACGGCCCTCGTCGGCGAATCGGGCGGCGGCAAATCTACCCTCTTCCGACTGATGTATCGCTACTTCAATTGCCAGGAGGGTAACATTAGGATAGACGGCCGTGATATTAAGGATGTCACGATCGACTCTGTTCGACGCTACATAGGAGTAGTGCCGCAAGATACGGTATTATTTAACGACACCCTCATGTACAATCTGAGATACGCCAACCAGCATGCGACCGACGACGATATTTTTGCCGCATGCCAAGCCGCCAGCATACACGAGAGGATCATGTCTTTCCCCGACGGCTATAACACCAAGGTCGGAGAACGAGGTCTTCGCTTAAGTGGCGGTGAGAAGCAGCGGGTTGCCATCGCCCGAACCCTGCTTAAGAATCCTAAGATCATCATGCTGGATGAGGCTACCTCGGCTCTTGATAGCCACACAGAGCAGCAGATTCAATCCCGACTAGCCACCATCGGTCGCGGCCGTACATTGCTAATCATTGCGTAAGTTCCATTGCCACCAGTATAATATATAATATATAATATATAATATGTGATAAAACTAGATCAGCTAACCGGGTTTAGACATCGTCTGTCTACTATCACCCACGCAGACCAGATTCTTGTGCTGCATCAAGGAACTATCGTCGAGAGAGGTTCGCACGAGAAGCTTCTTGAGCTCAATGGTCGGTACGCATCCATGTGGAATCGCCAAGCAAAGGCCGAAAAAGCAGCCGAGGACGCCCGTAATGCGACGCGGAAAGCTGAAAAGCTTTTGCGAAAGGCTAATATCCCTGCAGCCTCGGGAGACCATCACAGCCGAAACGAGCACTCTAACAACAACGACGACTCGAGCAGCTCGTCCGACGAATCGGTTACGCCTGGACGACACGGCGGCCAGTCGGAATCTACGACGCTGGTTGAAGGCTCCCCTCGATCGACCCACTAATCATAATGTCCACTAACTTGGGCTCGACTCATGTCCATATTCCCATTTCCCGCGATATATAGTTTTTATTGCCTAATAAGCTTCTCACGCCCCGGACTGCCGGGTATTGCATTAAACATGGCGTTGGTGGCATATACAGAAAAAGACGCCTCTACATAGGAGGCTGTCGGCGGCTTTGCATTTCCGGTTATCACGATTCTTCGCAACGATACCAAAAAGACTTATGTGGTTCTGTCTTATTTTAATTCACTATCGTTGTTCGCACAGCAGACGATCAGTCATGGCCCTTTGCATGAAAAAGAAAAAAAAAGGTCGGGCAAAGACGGGATGGAACAGGAAGGAACGGAACGGAAACCTACCAATGTCGGGAGGGGGAGGAAGGGCTTCTGCTTTTTTTTTTTACGCATCCTTTTATTATTATTTTCTCTTTTTTTTTTTGGTACGGATCAAGTCAGTCGGGTTGCTATTGGCTTTTGAACGGTGGGCGGAGTACCACCTTAATGTGATGACGATGAAGAGATGAGGAATGTATTTGAGATTACTCTAGACCCTTAGGTGGTTTTACTCGATTGTAGATGGCCCGACTGTTAATACCGGAAGCTTTCTCTGAGTTTTACGAACGACGGGGTAGCGACCCGATTCCGTCCCGTTGCTTACTACTTGGTAGATTATACGCGTGTATGAAATGGCGTGAGAGGTTTAAGTGAGGCTGAAGATTTCTTACTTGGGTTGCGTGGCAGTTTGATGTTACAGTCTTGCAACCCATAGAATTCCAAATCACTTCCCGTCACCCCCAAACCCCAAACCCCAAACTGGTTCCAAAGCAAAGCAACCCTCCCTCCCCCGGTCCGGGGTACGGTGTTTCGCTCGCGTGCGGCTCGCGTTTCTTCATGCCGGCAAAGCGGGAGATCTGCCATGATGGCTAATATAAATCTGAACCCCTATCTCTACCTCCCGGGCAGCGTTGCATTTTCATTCTTATTTTTTTTTCTCTCCCCTGGGATAGGTAGGATTATATGCCTTCTCCATTCTTACCTTGTCTTGCTCTTAGTAAGTGCAGTGCGATGTGACATACATAGGTAGGTAGGTAGGTAGGTAGGCCGGCAGGTGTAAAGTGTATGCGTGCGCGTACCTGCAGTGAATGGCACTTGCAACGTTGCTTGTCTTGTTTGCTGCTACCTCATACCTCCTACCGGGAGGAGGAGGACGGGAGGACGGGAGGACGGGGGGACGGGGGCAAGGTGGAGGGAGGGGAATAGCATGGAAATGGAAATTGAGCTGGGCTGGATGTGGAAGATGGAAGACGGGAAAATGCTCTACTACTTACTTACTTGCTTGGTTACTTCGTATACTGACCTACCTACTATACGAAGACGTGAGACGGGATTAGATAGAAAAACAAATAAAAAGAAGCTCGGCTCGGCTCGGACCCTCACGGTAGGTATGCCATGCTATGAATTTTTTTTTTCTTCTAGGGGTCCCTGCTTCGTGCCCTGATCGACCGCGGTCTCGTGCGGTATATACTTCCACACATACCATACCATACCATACCATACCTAGGTACCTAATATATTTATTTCCACGAGGTCAGGTCTATTACATACATAGGTAGTTTGGGTACATGGGCGGTACTTGGAAGCCATGTAATAGGAAAGTCACGAAGCGGTGGCAGCGGTGGCGGCGGCAGCGGCATTCCTTTTTTTTTTCTTCTTTTCTTGTTTTTTGTTTCTTTTGTTTCTTTTCCACATTTGTTATAGCTAGTTAGTAGAAGGATTCCTAGTTGGTTATACTATACTATACTATACTATACTATACTATACTATACTATACTATACTACAGCTGTAACCTACCTAGGTATTTCTGGGGGCTTATAGCATGACATAGCAAGCATAGCAAGCATAGCATAGCATGGAATATACCACACTAGCAAGAGGGACCTTGTCTGTCTAGCTTCCTTGCGCTAGTTTCGGTATCGTTCGTAATTATGGAATCCTTCCACTTGCTCACCGCAAGCCCGCCGCCGCACTATCACCACCACCACCTCCACCACCACTACCGCCCGCCCGCGCTACCCTACCCTACGCCACGCCAACCACGTGTACGTGCTCCGTCCTCGGAACCGGGGACCAACGGACCGACTACCAAAAGCGTGCTGGATTTCCCGCCTGACCGCGTGTTTTACTTATGTACTATCTCCCACCTCCTACCCATCTTCTCCGCCTCGGTACACGTGTCTATCCAGCTCCATATATACCCAACTTACATATGTACCTTAGGTATGTATGTATGTATGTATGTTGGTATGTATGTATGTATGTATGTATGTATGTCACTACACACCACATACACATACACATACACATACACATACACCCTAAACTAAACTAAGCCCAGCCCAGCCAAGCCCCAAACGTGCCGGCCACCAGGGCCTCGGGCCCCAGCCAAGAAGAAGCATCTATGTACGTACCGTGCTCTAATGTAGGTACGAAACACAAATAACGGTCTGCGATACTACATACCTCCTCTTATACATATAGCCTATACATACCAAGGCGTATGTATGTATTCTAGGGACGCCAGCTTCCGGAATGTTCTGTGACCCTCTCAGAATTTTCTTTAGTGTCTGTGCATAATACATAGTAAAATTCCCCTACGACTCCAGCTCGGCCGAGAAGTCCCGCACGGACTCTCGCTCTCAAAACGCAAGCTAAGGCAAAGGAAACCGAGCAGACGCGTCATACCAAGGGTCTCGGTACGGCTTAGACGAGGCGCGTCTTTCCTTACTATGGCAAGACATCATCTTTTATTAAGAATTATATATATGTATGTTTGGGGGGAGGAGGGGCTGGTTATGGGTTTTCAACTATCGTACGTAAGAAGGGGTAGTAGAAAAAAGACAAAAGCAAAACAAGAACGGACAAATGCTCTTTTCTCATCATGCTATGCTCGTCGTTGGTCAAAAGTCGTTGGTCCATCCCTCCGTCATTAGTACATAAATCAGCAAGCAAGCAATAGCAAGCAAGCAACAGCAGGCAAGCAACAGCAGGCAAGCTTGTATAGGCTGAGTGCCCCAGGCAGATTGGTCCCAACGTGTTCCCTGGCCCGCCGCAAACCAACGACTCCCTTCATCCCTGGGCAACATTACCCAAGCAACCAAGAATCTCCCCATATGCGCCGTTCCCATGACCCGTGAGCGAATGGCTTGGAATGCTAAACCCGTTCTCTGAACGCCTATGATCGTTGAGACAGGCCATCAGGGAACATACAAGCATCTGTTTTCAAAGGAAATGCGTTATATAGCAATTCCCGCGAATACCAATTGTCTCGTCTACGCCCGCCGTTTATGCTGAAATCCTGTATCGTGTTGTACATGCAAGCCCCCTACTGGTTAAAATTTACAAGCGAATGTCATGAATCGAAGGCAAGAAGCGGCCAACGTTCTATCGAGCCGCCTTCTTTTTCGACGCCGACGCCGACCCGTTCGTGTGGGTCTTGATGCCGTTAGCATTGCCGTTAAGTAACGGCGTCGCTTCGGTGCTCTCCTTGATCGCTTTTGGTGTCTCTGCCTTCTCGTTCTCTGGCTCGTTAATATCGGAATCTTCAGCCTCAGAACGGTCGTCGTCTGCTTCCTTATAGACGATGAAGCGGTAGGCAATCCTCACGATGAAGAAGAACCAGAATAGGTTAAGGGCCTGCAGAGACGAGAGGAGGGTGAGAGTGATAACGAAAGCAAGTTCGCATTTATACTGTCCGGTTTCCCAGTTTAGCTCGTAAGGGCCGACAGTCCTGAATTCGGTGAATAGTGAATAGATAATGCGGAGGTTTAGATAATGGCGTAGGTAGGCCCATGAGGTCATAAATATGAAGAAATAAGGTCCCACTAGAGGGTGGTCAATGTAATTGAGAGTTTTGGATGTCTGTTCAAATCTATTAGTATTACACGTGGCAACTCAAGACTTGAGGTACCCGAGGGCACGGATCAGACTTACCGCAAGGAAGAAGTCGCTAATGTCGTGGGTAATGTAGACGGCCAGACCGATGTACGTGAAATGAAAGCGGTAGCTCAACCCGATAAGCGTCAGACTGACGATATGGTGGCCAACGAGCTCCTTGTAATCCTTCCGCGGCTTCTCTATGCCAAGCAAGAGGACAATAGCCTGTTGGGCCCAATAGGCGGCCTGGAATAGGTAGTAAAATTTGAACATGGCCTCGTGCGTCTTATGAGGGAAGTTCTCATACATGCCGCGGGTGTTGAAATACCAAACAGGGGTTCGGCTCATGACGTACATACCGGTCGGCCCCAAGAACCCGAAATAGATGGCGGTATACATCTGCTCTAGGAAACGCGCCTGTTTGGCACGCGACTTTAGACCGGCTCTCCTGGCGAGCGGGCGGAGAAGTTCTTGCATGATAAACTCGCGCGTAAAGGAGAGGACGACGGTATAGAAAGATACGAAGGCGATATCCCACGGCCCCTTGCCATATTGGACAGGCGCTTCGGAATCAGCACCGGCCTCAAGCGGGAGCTTGTACGAGAGGAAGATGAAGTGATGAACAGGGTTCGATTCAGACGGGTTAATGGCGTACACGGACAGGAAGATGACCAAGACGACTAGGGGTAAGACCCAGGTGTGCTTGAGGGCGTAGTGTTTGCAGCGACGCAAAAAAGAGCGAGCTTTGCGACGCTTTGAACCTCGTTTAGACACTTCCTTGCCATCCGGTGTTGATGGCTTTTGCGTATGTCCATTTGTATCCTGAAAGGTCGCAAGACTCGCCTGCAAACTAGGCGCACCCGTGTCTCCCAGCCTGATGTCTGCACCAAGCACGCTCGACTTCCTACGCCGACGCGCATTCCCCTGATCAGCCGCCGAGTGTAATTGGTCGGCCGAGCTATTGAGGATGGGAAATGGTTCCTGGGGTGCCATTGTCACAGAGGGTCGACCTTGTCGCAGAAACCTAGGTAAGACGAAAGGGAGCTGCGAAGATAGACACGCAGCAGATGACGTGAGGACGTCTACTAATAGACGGTATGAGCAACTGGAATACCCGGCTTTGACGGTCCCGGCTACCTAGTCGATCCCAGAATGCTTAAGGAGTGAAAGCAATCCAGACTTCTAGTATCGATAGGCGGGAGAAGAAAAAAGAATTGAGGTGGCTGTTGGAGAGAAAAAGGGAAGAGGAGGTAAAAAGTTACGGTAGTAGTGCCAGTGGTCGGTGGTGCATGAGATTTGATAAGATTTGATAGGTCTGATAGGCAGATTAGCATTAATGGACTAGTACTAAGCCCCGTTAAGAATTCATATTTATGCTTTTAAGTGTTGTAGGTAAGATTGTGCAATAAAACTTTTACTATACCTATGTAGTAATAAGTTGGTCCCTTTCTGCCAGCAGCCAAAAGCACATAGCGGGGCAAGCATATGATTTCCGCAATCACTAACTTTAATTAGTACTAAGGGTCCCCAGCTCGCTTTTATCGGGTTTGATTGGTCACTTTCTCTTTGCCAAGATTTAATATTGCTTGCTGTCAGGCTATATGCCGGCTCCACCTACTTATACACCTTCACATTTCGACCGAGGCATATAAAGTAGCAATTTTGCTTTAGCACAACTTTTGCATTCTCTCAATGCGGTGGTGAGTGTTAAATATGCATAGAGTTTGATGGGGATTCTATGTACATATGCTAACTACTCCATTCTTGCACATATGCAACAACGGCTTACGTCCTCCCGTATGTATGAGTTAAAATAACTCACCGCTAAACTGAGCACAGACACTAAGGGCGAGTTATGAGTTATGACCATACATATCACCGTCGGCTATGAGACACAAGTCACCTCGGCACAAATATGATATGAAAGTTGCCAAATGATAATTGCTTCATATTTATGACCCAAATACCGCATAGCAAGTTAGGGTTATGGTATAAACCAACACCATTCGATAAAGGCTTTTTGACTAAGAGCCTCTCTCTATTCAATCCGCTCTTAATTCAAATATGCCGTCAATGCTCATACTCTCAACCCGAGTGGCACTGCTAAAGACCTATATGTATACAGCGGCCGATGCCGCTTATCAAGTACGCCGGTTATACTCGTTATATTCGCATAACAGTACTCCATCATCAATGCAGATATACATTGCAACATAACAGCCCAGTAGCATACCGTAATAAATGGGCGGAATATCGCTATTCCTTTCCCTTTTTGAACCCAATGCGCCATATGATGCAGCCAAAGAAACAAAGCACCCCAAGCGCCGCGCTGCCATTAGATCACAGGAATATTCTATAGAAATGGGCCGGAAATCACTACACAGGTGATGACGCGTCATCCCATAATACGTCGTCCACTGGTCGCCTTTCGCTGGTCGTTCTTTCTCGTTGATCTCCACTTCTATGGGTATGAGTCGGAGTGTTCAACGAGTTAGTATCCTGCGTATTAGGCGGCCTATTAACGTATGTGCTATTCCTTTCCACCGGACCTGGAGTTGGCCTAGGCGCGGTTGATGCCGTGCTGTTATTTCTAGTAACATGATGCGATTGTGGCGTGTGACCGGCTGCGGCGCTTGTACTTCTCCGTGCTGGTGGCGAAGAGGAAGATATCGGTGGTTCGTGTGGCTGTTCATGTGACTCTATTTGCAATTCTTCTTCTTCCAGTAGTTGAGCCAGCGCCGCACCGCGCCGTGGAGGGGCAGGTATAACGGTAACCGGTAGGCTATCCGTATCCGGAGTCGGCCGAACCCTTTCTAGGATTCTCTCTGCCTGGGTGGCAGCAAAGATCTCTACCCGTTCCCTGAGGTCCCATCTACCGACGCTTTCGTAATCGCGTCGTTTTGGTTGTTTGGGTATTGTGTGTGGAAGGACTTCCGCCGGAGGTTCCTTCGCAGTACGGTAGAATGGATTCAGATAGTTCCAGCGGCTCGAATTTCCTCCCTCGCCGTTGCTTCTTTCCGTAGCGCGCGCTGACGAGGGTTGTCGCGATGGCGGCGTGCTCCCAGATTGTTCATTGCTCTCTGCTATAGGACTTGATGCCGAGGAGGTTGCACTATTGCTTCTAGACAAGGGTCGGCCATGCCTATCATCTGTAGTCCTCGAAGTCGTCTCCGTAAGAGGCTGATATCGTACCGCGTAAACGGTGCTATCAGCACTTGCAGTATCCGTTCTACTTACCGGTGTAACTGCCGGGGGTGGCCGGGAAGGCCATAGTGGAGGTTGTAAGAACCGTGCTGCTGACCTGCCCGTCGTAGCGGCTTGTTGTCTCCTATCCGGGCTACTCTCCGTCCTCGACCTATACCGGCTGGCAATAGATGACATAGCTGGCCACATATTGCTCCGACCACCCGATAACGAACTGTTACCACTCTCTCCCCCATCATCACCGTCCTCGCTCTTTCGTTTATTCTTCCGCCGCTTAGACCATGAGAGGTCCGAGGGAAATACCTCCATCATTTCATCGCCATCAAAGACCTCCCTTCCTAAAACTCCATCTTTCTTCTCTTCACGTTCTAACGCTTCAATCCGCTCAACCCACTCCCATACTACAACACTTGCCGCCGCGGCACCGACCCATCTAACATAATCCCCCCATCCGGTAAAGTCGGGTTTTGCTATGTCGAGAACAAAAAAGATAACTGGGACAAGAATCGATATTATAGAAAGAGCTGCCATGAGGCAGATATTCTTCATAAGGGGATGGTAGAAAGCATATCGTTTCTTCATGAGTGAATAATAGAGCACCCATGCAGCATATAATAAACCTAAAGACAGTTGAAATAGATAACTAAGCGCCGGCACAGCGTCCGTAAAACTGCGCGGCCTAGTATTGCCCTGTTTGGTGTAATGGAAGCTATTGAGGGCACCGAAAATAACGTCCAACGTAATAAGCGAGAAAGCCGTCCATTTGATGATGACCTTCTCGCGCTGCCGAGGAAATAGCCGTATAAGGGTCTGGGCTTGGGCCAGCCAAAGAAACGTATCGGAGATGAGCTGAATGACCTTCAGTTGGGTTCCTCCCAGCACATCCTCCTGAAGTTGTTGTGCATTCTGAATTCCTAACGCGTACTGTTTTTCAGCTACGCGGAAAGTATCCGCCGTAGCAATAGATAAAGATATAGCAACGGTTAAAGCCGCAACCTTTTGCAGCCACGGACGACCACCAATACTAATACCATTCGAAGGGCCATTCGTGAATCCACGCCGGCCTAAAACAACAACCCCACCGTCAAGAAACGATCGAGGCGCAATAACAAGCATAATGAGAAGCAAATAAGCAAGAACCGTCGTAGCAGCTAGAGCATAACATTGCGGGAAGATCGAAGCGTAAAAGGGGTCGCGGAAGTCGGAGAATTGAGGACCAGAATCCGATGATGTTTGGTCCAAATCGAAGGCTCCATTCGCGATGATGGCGGGCTGGGGCATGGGAGTAGGCGTGCAAAGAGGCGAATAGATGGCGTTGGCCGTTAAAAACGTCGGGTCGGCTCCAGGAATGTGTAATAAACCGCTCGAAGGGATGGTATAAGGCGTGCAGGAAGCATCGAGAGACAATGTTGTCGTAGCAGCCACCCTGGGCTGCCGGAAGTAGTGCGAACTCATCGTAGAGGGACGAACAAGCGGCCAGTCGCTAAGCGACGATGTTCAGGCACTTGCGATGCTACCGCGAGGCATTCGCCATGGAATAGGGATAGCCTACGAGGGCTTAGAGAACGCGACGAGCCCGTGTTACGTGGTCGAGTCGAGTCGGTCGGTCGAGTACGGTGTGTGCGCGGTATAAACTCGCATCGCCCAAGATGGACGGTTCTCGCGACAATAATGGATCCACCAATTGATTCTTTTCGTCAATTCAATTACTTTATTTTTTATTTTTTTGAAAAACGCCGAATAAAACAATTAATTCGTTCGAGTTCGCTAGCGGGGATGATTTTCGTCGGTTCTTGATATTCGATGTTGATGTCTGGGCGCCCAGAAGTCTTGGGGTGTAAAAGAGACGGGAGATGGGAAGCCAACAAGAAGCCAACAAGAAGCCAACAGACGGTTGGTTCGGGGGTGGGCAAAAAGCTGCAAAAGGTCAGACTTCGCTTGCTTCAATGCCCATCGCATTCAATCCCTGCTAAGTGGGGAAAAGGGAAAAGGGAAAAGGTAGTCGAGATGGCCCATGGGGGCTTCTAGCCTGCCTCTAGCCTGCCGGGGTCCGACGGGATTGGTTGGCAGAAAGGCAATTAATTAGTGGACCGACCTCCCTTAAGAAGAACCTGATGTATTGTACCCGTCTCAGAAGGTGTTTAGGGTGCATTGGTGCATTGGTGCATTAGTGGGTAAGATTAGTGGTAGAAGGGTATGTACATACGACCTAGAAAAAAAGAGAGGTCAGTCCACACTGTGCGACATACACGCCACCTGAATGTGACAGTGGTGCGATTGCAGTACACTTGCAGTGCAATAATACCACTGTCTGGTAGCTCAGCACTAGCATTAGCGTATCCATCAATCTCCAACACTGTGCTATGTACAATTCCTTTCCTCCATTTGATTTTGTTGTTAGTTAACCTAGTTAGTTATTTTAATTCCACACTTGGAAAGTGTCTTCACACCTCTAACATCGATAACCGAGATGCTCGTAAACACCAGTACAACCAACTCGGCATTTCTCGGATAAAGCTCAATCAAATTTAGAAACCAGACGTTCTAAGGATCAAGTGCCGTGCATCACATCCAGCAGACACGGGGTTTTCGTCCGCTTTAGCGCTGCGGTCGTGGAGTTGTAATAAACTTGCACGTTATGAGGTTGGACGCGATGGTCTTGCAGTCCTGCAGCTTAGGTCACCCGGACAGATGAGAGAAAGCCACATCGAGTAGTTTTGATTACCTACCCGGAACGGCAACTAAGGCGAAAGCAACTCTGTACGTTTTGTTCAGCCGGAATAGAGAAGCCGTACGTAGGGTGGCACCGCGTGATAGTCCACCACTCGGCCATTCTTCGCTAATTGCAAGACATGATAACATATATGATGGTCCCGCGACGAGGAATGCAGCAAGTTCGTGGGGACCGAGAACTTGACACCGTAAGGTTATTATGGGTTATTATTAATGTTTAGACATCCAGTCAAGACATCCAGTTAAGTCGGACACTCTCATCCGCCGTAAACTATTGGAGCGCATATAAACCGATGAAAACACGACGAGGTATTTTTATCTTACTATTAGATATGTAAGAATCGATCCGCCCTTTGATGTTTGATATTCTCCAGCAGACATATTTTCTCGAGGCGTGATGCAACGATATACGATATACATAAAGACGACACGCCCCTGACCTGTCTGTCTGTTCTGTCTGTGTGGCGCGCAAATCATAAAGCTTAGCCACATCAAAACATTCCGAAAAGCAAATGCAAATCTGAAATCTCAAATCTCAAATCTCATAGGTATTCGAATCTAAGAAGAAGGAGAAAAGGAAAAATAGCTACCCCGCGGTCTTTGCTGTTCTCGGCTCTCATCGCCAAGGATCCCAAGAATTGCTTACTTCCCGCCTCCGATGGACACGATCTTGGCAACTTGGCAAAGCTTATTGCTCGTGGACGTCGTCTTGGCATTATCAAAGATGATCTACCGTCCAGTATTTCTGATCCAAACTTTTGTCTCCCGCATTAGCAAGCAGACTATAACGTAAATTCGACATGATTCTTACCCACTGGACGGTAAAGACTTGGCGGTAAAGCTTACTTTAGACACATTAAGCGTGCGAGGATCAGGCTGTCAGGCTCGCATGATGCCTGATTGTCCTAACGCCACAATTTTAGATCTCGTCTTATGCATGTCCGAAAGTGAGACGAGTCGACCATCCACCATCACTTCTAACCCGACTCTGCTTATACCTATCTTCACGTCTCCTTCGAGTCGGGTATTTTAGGGAGCTGAGGTGTGATTCGTGTCGATGCTGTTGATGCTTCTTTAATCGCCCGATCTCTTAGATGGGTTGATCTTTAACATGAAATCGCATTCGGGAATAGATCGTCTGCGTGGCTACCGAAACAACCTCCTGTCTCAGTACCACCCAACGCTGTAGGTTTCTCGCAATCACTTGCCGTGATCTGTTTAGAGGACCGTGTCTCTAGCTTCCGGACGATCACAGATTGTACCGCGCTCTAGGCTTCTAGTAGTGTTCTTGTACTTACTAACCCATTCCATTGTACCGCATATGTAGAGTTACCTACTATGCGGTAACATACCAAAGTAAGTAAGTATCTCAGTTACGGGGAGATTCTCTCAAGATATACAGCAATCAGTGTTCAAACAAGCAAGCTACCAAAAGCTAAATATAATAGATAATCTACTACATTCCTCTCATGATGAGTACAATGACTGACACTAAACGGCATGACACCATACCCATTACACAATACACTTACGAAGCACGCCCATCAAGGCTAAACCCAGAATATTATAAGACACGGGAAGTACGGTGATAGTGACACTAGACCGGTTTGCTTCGTACCAACTGCACGGGGAATCGGTCTAGACCAGAAAATGCAAAGGCATTCCGGGTAACCAGAGCAAACTCGCTTAAGAGCACGGGTCCCTGCTTTTCGTAGAACATTGGGATTGGCACAAGGGATATTGAGGCTTTTTTTTCTCGGGACGAATCTAAATCTATACGAACCCACAGACCGTCATGGCTTTAGCTACGTCAGTGGACTTGGAGCCTGTACGACGTGTATTATGCCATCATTATACGTCACTCGAAGTGGTTGAAGTATGTATCCGGGTCCCAAGCCACCTAAGATCTGGCTAGGTACGATATTAAGAAAAGGTCGGTGACATACTTTATATAAATCAACCAGAGGGTTAATACGTGAACGGATCTAGTATCTACTATAGATCCACGTGTACCTACCTACCTACCTAACTTAACCTAACATCTTCGGCTCTGTACGGAAAACATAGGTAGGTAGGTAGCTATGGCCTAGCTAGCAACAATGTGATTATGTTAGGCATTATATAGCTCCGTCTAAGACGACATTCATTGCAGACAGAAGGGAAACCCTACCAGAGGCAGTTCAAGTGCATGAATCGAGTGTGTATATCGTCCCCTATGATACAGGTAGAACCAACCAGCTTCCACCATCCTCACCTTCCACAGCACAACAACCCCCATATCCCACCTCCCATCCCATCCCGTTTCTTCAGCCCCATCTCCCCGTAGAACTCTAGATCGAGACTCCAAGCCTGCGTCCGGCATACATCCACATCACATACCTACCTAGGTACCTAGGTTAGTACCTACCTACACTGTACCAATACCCCCTAATCCGTATCCGACGCACGGCCATAACACCTCCTCCCAAGAGCGCCATCCCCCTATATATAAACAGAATATTAAATAACCACACACTGTCTAATCCGAAAGTATCGTCTCGGCAGAAGGATGTAAATGAAAGAACGAGAATTGAAAAATTGCTTGGCTATCATAGGCCGTTCTATATATAGGGACGTAATACTGTAGCTGGCCGTAAGAAGAACTCGATACATGGGCAGTAGGATTCGATGAACATTAGGACGAAAAACTAAGCAACATAGGTGTCACTAGGTAAAGTAGGAGAAGCTGGAGCTACGAAACTACGACCTCATTAGGGCAATGATCTTGCAACAAGGCTTGAAGTAAAACTGCTTAATTCTGTAGTCGAAATTAACAGTCCTGGTCCCCGGGCAAGAACCACTAGACATTATTAATTCCTGTTGATTAAAGGTTGTATCGGACCCAAATACTGGTCTAAAGATGATGGCTGACGATTGACCTAAAGGCTACTGAGTGGTAACTTGTATACCACTATGGCCTCGTCTTCGTCAATGAGACGGCATAGTACATTAACCCCGTTCTCTCCCACCCTACCCTCCCCTGAACGCCACTAGGTGTTCAGCCTCAAAATGCTTCATCATTCGACTGCTCGGGTTAAGTCCGTATTAATAACCAAGTCATCCCTACCCTTCAAGTGCATAACAATCGTGACCCCCTCGATCCCCAGGTCATCCTCTTCATTCGCGACGTTCTCGTCGGCCCGTCTTGCATAATCAACATCTGCCCCCCTAAGGGAAGCCCTAGTAGACAGCTCTGCTTTCAGTAAGCGGATCTCAGCTGTCAGTGCTAGATAGCGGCTCTTCCAGCTGCAATCGTGGTTTGGAGGCGGAATGGGACTAGGCCGGTGAACTTCGAACTCCGCAGTTGTATTAGTGATTGTGATAGACGATTTTCTATCTTCAGGTTCCAGTATCACACTCCTGCTTCCAAACATTCCGTGCTCGCCCATATCACGTAGGATATGTCGTGGCTGCAGAGGCGAGTGGCTGGCATGAGCCGTAGTACTCAATGGAGTACGTCCATTCCCGCGTACTGTGCGGGTGTCGTCTCGGGGATAAACGCGTCCATTTTCAGGATCGTTAGATTTAATCTGAGGTTGTTCATGCACGAAGCTGTGAGGGCGTTTGGAACCCTCTAGACTATGCTGCGAATGGGAGATATCCGAACGAGCGAGTGGGGAGCTACGATATGTATTTCGTGAGTATCTAGTATCTTCGACCTGAAGGTGCGTTGGACGACGTCTGTCGTGTGAGGATGCCTGTCGATTTTCTGCTGACGAAGTTTTTGTACGGGTATGTACGTCAAAGCTTGCTCTGGACGACAAATGTTGAGATGAATGATCCTGCTGGGACTCTGGTCTTTGGTGTTGCGTGACATGCAAAGCTGTTAGAGGCGAAGGGGCAGAAACCCGTAAGAAATCGTTACTCGAGCTGGCTAACATGCTGGACGAATCCTTTTCGGGGGCCGGCCCATGAACCAGGCTCTGTGAATGATTTACACTTTCTCCCTCTAGGTTCATTACATCAACGTGCAACGGACGCCCGTGGTTTCCGACGTCGATATGATGCAGTCTAGACCGGGCGTCGCCTACTTCTTTACTCGGTGCTTGTAACCATGATGGTGGACTGAACACACGGCTCTTGGGTAAAGATTTTCTACCTCGGGCGTCATGTCCAATCCCTTTCGCCGTGTTTGCTGTATAATCTCTACTAACAGCCTCGACCCTAGTCGAGGCATGGTTGTCTGCAATATCGTGGCTATTCTCATATCCTCGATCGGTGTAGGAGGCACATTCGGTTTCGGTAGATTTGAACTCTTGGCGTTGGCCTGTGATACCATATCCAGCCTCATCGACAGCTTTACCCGAGCGATTACTGTTTAGGTGCCGAATCCCGTAGTTAGCGCCACTGGTAATATGTTCTGCAACATGATAGGGCGTATGGAGACCTGCAAAATGATGCCGATGAATTGTATCATATGGGGGTCGCAACGTATCTTTCCTAGACTGTAAGCTCAGCGGATGAGCGGAAGGGTTATCTGATACCAGCAATTCTCTGGGTGGCCCCCCATGCTTTTCGACCTCTTCACTTCGGTGCAAAGCACAAGTGATGCTATGTCGGTACGGGTAATGCCCGGCATGTGTCGCTCTACACATGGGATTATCACATTCTACATGGCTATTAGCTACTTCATGATCCCTACCACCTATCTGCGGCTGGGGCCTGTAGCAATGATAATGTTGGATAGATAATGGCTCAGGAATGTGGGATTTCGTAGTCGATTCTACCCTCTCCTTGTCACCGACCACAAAAGGATTCTGCTTCACTGAGCGAACAGGCAAGCCCCGTGGTGAGTCTGGCCTCCCTGATACAAGACTTGCAGTAGGTAGTGCTGCAGGTTGTGTTGGTTTCTCGGTGCCTATATTTTTCGAAGTCACTGGCCGTAATTTAGGGGTGGCATTTTCTTGATAGTGTGCATAAGATGGCTGATGTAAGGCCGTACGCTGAGCGGATCGGTTATTGCTAGCCCTGTTAAACGATCGCGATACTTTCCGTGCTAATTGCACAGGTTCCGGGGTTGATAAGGCTGGCTTAGTATACTGTGCTTTATCCTGCCTGGTAGAATGATAATTGTGGTTGTGCGAAAATGTTTTATGCTCCTTTTCGGTGCTCTTAGGGACCTCACATAGGCATTTTTCGCATAAACGATGCCGACAAGATAAGCAATGAGTTTGCGACCAAGTTCGTGTAGAACAGACGTGGCAGATTCTGCAGAAGCGTCGGGGGCCGGCAGTCCTATCGCCTAAGAGAGATAGATCTTCATCATCAGAAAACCAACCGGTTGGCCTCCTGATACCATGCTGCTTAAACAGTTCGCGGGCAGATTGGCGTTGCTTGGCTTCAGTAGCTAGAAATGAAGTTTGAGATATTGTCGACACACTCGAGGCCCTTGATGCTAAGGGGGTATATTGTGGCGTCTCTAGGGATCGGATCGCCGATGGAGGGGGTCCGAAATTCGAATACGAAACCAAGTCGTCAAATTCCGAGGGGTGGTACAGTCGGGTATTCGAACCTGTGATATCATACTTTGGACTACTAAGTGCGAAGTCGCTGGTGTAATTCGGATGATAATGCTGACCCGATTTTGCAGGCCTCTGAACATTCTCAGTCAAGTTAGAGGTGCTGACTGTAATGATAGGGCCTTGATCATGGCCACTCCGGTCACGCTCTAATCCTGTAAGTGAATATGTAAGAGGGCCAAGCCATGGTCTCGCAACATGAAAATATGAACCCGAATGCTGTCCCTAGCCAATCAGTACATACTTTCGTTCCCGGGCTGTAAATTCGGAGTCCTCTGGCAGGCCATGATGGGACTGACTAAGGCGATGAAGCCGGCGTATCCGCGATGAAACAGTTCCTTTCGGAATGATTCTTTGGGCCAACGATGCTGGTTCGTAGGCAACGGATACGTCTGCACTCGCCAGAGGGTCACTCCATGAGCAGGTCGACATGTTTAACAGCTAAGATGTTAATCTTAAATCTATGACTGATAGCAAGAGTCGGCCACGACAGTGGGTTGCCACTATAATAAAATAACCAATATTCGATATACTCGTGGTGGTTGATAGGAAGATGGTTTTGGTTGACCACAGGCATAAGTTAGATGCAGATACCTACTTGCGTCCTCCTAAGGTAGACTTAAATTGTAATATAGAAATAGCAAGATTTTAACTTTAGACCCTAGCAAAGAAAAGGCAGGGAAGCTGCAGGAAGAAGTAAGGTAAGCACTGATGCGAATAGCGGAAAGCACTATAACGTTTAGTAAACCTTAAGCATGTTCAATTCGTGCTATTAGGCGGGTTTGTGATATGAAGCATGTTTGTGATATACAGGTTGCCATTTAAGTTTCTCTCCCCTTTTCCTCTAATGTATGATCTATTTGAGAACAGCTTGCAAGCTCTCCAGAACCTGTGGGTATATTAGCAATCATTTGATCGTGATTCGAATAGTTGTGCATGAATATATATCTATAACATACCTCTAGCTCAATCTTGGCTTCCGCAATGTCCTGCTCACTTCCGCTACCGTTCGCAACTTTTTGTGCTTCGGCGATCTGTGCCTTAACAGCATCTGCGCTGAAATCTTCAAGGGGGTATCCCTCGACAGCGTTGATGCTTAGAACCGAGTTGGGCTGCACGACGGCAAAGCCACCGGAGACTGTTATAGGGTCAGGTTTAAAGCCGTATTTTGATACCGTATTCCTCGTGTTACGTACGGAAGAATTGCTTGCTGCTACCAGTCTCCTCTACGACCTCGATCAGACCTGGCTTCAATTGCTCAATCGAAGGCACGTGGTTGGCTAGAACACCCATTTCTCCAGACTCGGCGGGGATGTTGACTTGGACAACATCTTGGGATTTGTATATAGACTATTGCGGGAATTAGCTAGCTATACTATATTGTATTGTAGCGTGCGCTAATTAGGATTATGTGTTCTTGACAGTGATATTTCGAGGATGATATGGTACGGCGGGGTCAGATCTCATACCTGATGAGGTAGGGACAAGCTCAGCTTGATCTGGGACGAGAGTTAGCAATAGACTTAGCACAAGAATTGATACCGGCTGAGAAGACAAACCTTGTCGGATGCGGCTTCAGCGTAGGTCCTTCGCTGAAGGGGCTGAATAGGGAGTCGCATAGCTGCGGGACGAGCCCTAAGGGCTGCGCGAGCGACACGGAGAGTATTCATGATGACTAGTGCTGCCAATTGAGGAATACGCGACAGGGCAAGCTCACGATGAACGTTGGCTTGAAGCAATTTCGAAGTTGTCGGGCTTTCGGTAGAGAGTTGAGTCTAGCCTCATTTGGTATGGTTAAAGCACGTGATTTCAAGACATCCGACCTTGACAGAGTGACAGAGTCGGCAAAATAGTAAATCACATGATTAAGTGGGCCACCTTAGTCATCAGACCACCCTTAAGCTGCTCCGGGAGTGCGGCACCTGAGTGATCACTTACATAGTCAGATAGTACATACAACAAACAGATGGCATGATTTTATAAATCTCGGTATTATAAATCTCGGTATATTCAAAAGCTACCTACTAGGTCAACCTACTTCTCTTACCTACCTCTTTTTTCATGGTATGCTCCGGAAATAACCCAACAGTGTACGATAGAATTCATGGTTAAGATATCTACACCGGTTAATTATTGCCGGTTGTTCTACGCTCGAAACATTAGGTAGTAATAGTAAATGGCCTCGTTGTCAAAACGTGGCGGGTTGGGTTTTGAACAAAGATGTAGTCTCAATATGCCTAAATACGTAGCTAGGTCGGCTGCTAGGCTGCTTACCTACATCTTAGGTATGTATGTACATAGGCAGATAGGCTAGGAGAAATAATGCATTCTTATTAGCGCGCCAATTTGTTGGAAGGCGGCATCAATTGAAACTCCATCTATTGCATCATTGCATCATTGCTTGATTTGTGGTCCATCATGCTTCCGAATCTAATTCTAGCATCTTATTTAGTGCTACTCAACTAGGCCGAGACCCCCAAATCGTCGCTAGACTAAATGATGACCCTCAAACTGCGGATTCGAGCAGAGACCCTGGAGGATCACACATACATACCTCATACGTACATGTAAGCGGATGTCATACATATATCAAACATCACGAGTGAGGGGATACACTACAAATAGTAGTATACCAGCAAGGATTTGGACCCTGCCATGCCTCACCCATGTGTATGTACATACACTACAGCAGGAATATGTAAAGACGCGACACGCCAACGGAGAATTAGCCATGCTAGGTTTAGTATTTTTCACCCACGCGCTGATACCGCCTTTAGTACCACGAACAAGCTTGATGGGCGGTTTTCGATGCGGGGTCCTCGAAGCTAGTATCTGCATACATAGGGTACTACTATGGAGATCTAACATGCTAGGCTGAATGTGGGAGGGGAGGGGGAAGGGGGAAGGGGGAAGGGGAGGGGGATTCGATCCTCCTTACCGTACATAGCAGGAAGGGCAAGATCACAAGTACGAATTTCACTAGGCATCGCCCGCCGCTACTGTATGATCACCAAGTGACCAGAGCGATAATAGCAACGATGGACGGGGACGGTTGCAGCTTGGGCAGCGCTTCAACTCATCAGATAATCTTGGGAAGAGCGAATAGACTATCGCAAGATACAGTCAGGCTACCCCTCAAGCCAGTAAGCCGATGAAGAGCGTGCGTCAAACCGTATGTTAAAGCAGATTAACCCCCTTTCGTTCTCAAAAGAGGGTTCCTTGGGGTTTATATCCGCCTTATACGCCGTACGATGTGCCCAACGACACACCGTCCATTGGAGGAACTGTCGATGGGATTTGGAGAAACACACAAGGATTGCCACTCTCCGTCACGTCGACTACCAAAAAGTTTCACATGTCCCAGCAGCGCAAAACCAACACGTGTCCTGCGAGAGATGCACTCCAATTTCTTTCTGAGATCAACGACGACATAATGAGGTGAAACTCTAGTGGTGGTCCAACACTTCTTTTCTGATGTCAGAGAGCATGATGGTGTGAGCGATAGAGTTACATATGAGGCAAGCGAAGAAACCCACATGTCACTGACGATATACTTCTATTGTCCCGAGTACCCGCGGGTGTGGCCCGAATTAGGTTGCGTGCTGCAGCTTGCAGACGTGCTGCGTAACGGTACCAAATGTCATGCTGGACGCAGGAGGGCAATGTCGAATCGATACTCGACGAATCACAAAGCTGCGTTGAGCCGGGGCAACGGATCTGGTATGTACCATACTGTCCTGCACTGTACGACATATTCCTCTGCTGGGTCAGTCAGTTGTCATGGCTGTGACAAACTATTTCGTCCTCGTAGGGCTTATTATCTTACGTCTTACGTTTCCCAGGATCTGTTTACTTTGGTTTGGGAAGAGTCGGGGCGAGACTTGCTAGAATAACTTTAAGACCTCGTGTAATCCGTAAAGCCCTGAGAGTTCACCGCCTGTCCGAAGCGGACCAACCCTTTTTTCTATATAGGGGGTTATGCAATGATACGATACACATAAGCGTCAAGGTTTGGCGTACCTACATTTTACCTACATTAGTATGTAGTTAGTCGGTAGGAGATAGCTGAGAGTATCATTACACAACTTTCGGCATAAGCGAAAGGGTGGTGGGTTAGACAACAGGCTCATGTACGGTTGCATCCGGATTCTTTATCTGCATCTGCATCTTGATTAAAGAGTCTTCTAGATATCAATAGTAAGAAGCACTTTGGAAAAAGGATGTCGTAAGAATCCGGTAATCCATTCATTAAAAGAATGCTTAGGTACAACCATTCACACACACATACAAATAAACAAAACGAGAAACAAGTTATTATTCAGATTAATTCATTATATATAATGAATAGGCTGTTAATAGGGGCTTGGCTACGGACACTGTGAACTTAAACAATATGAGCGGTTTATGGAAAAAGGGGATGAAGCTATTACCTATTCTTCCCCAACAGACCAACAAAGAAAAAGTTTTTCTAGCCTGCAATTAAGAAATTTGCATTATTTTAGATCAACTAGACTGTTAATGTAAATAGCCGACGAGTTTCACTATCTAATTCGAGCAACGTGATGCGCGAAATTAAGAAGAAAAGAAAAAGAAAATTGCTAGTTCAAAAAGTGGTTCAGTGCCCGGCGATCGAGTAGAACATACGGATCTATAGATATTCAGCCCGGCGTTCATGTACCCTATGTACAGCTTAACGAAATAAGGGAGATTACTTGCAGGTCCAGATGCGCCCGGACAATTTTTTTTTTTTTTTTTCAAGAGCGGCCTCGGCCCCTTGTACTACTACGCACAACCTCCCACGCTTTCCTTGTTATGCCATGATATGTTATGTACAATGTATTGCAATTGTCCAGCAATAGCCCGAGTCGTAATGCATATGTACATACATTTAGATAGGCACTAGATGAGAAAAAGCAAAATCGGCATTCTATGTATTCCCATTGTGCTGGGAAAGACAATGCTACCGTAGAAATCAGGATGTAAACGGCCTACTCATCCGGCATAGTTCTAGGTTAGGTGGTCGTCAACTCATTTATTTCGCAATAATCAAATCATCTACAAAGGCGAGTAATATGTATATATGTACGTACATTAAATAGGTACATAGTTACATTAATATATTGATGTACATGCATACATCTACATATACCTACATATACATATACACATCGTATGGACCCTAGGTGGTAATTATTCAATACATGTACATACATGGGCTGTATGTAAGTCAGAGGCATGTAAGCAAGTACCGTCGACACACGTTACCTGCCTCTAGTGTACCGCCTACGACCGCCTCATCTTGTCGTCTCGACCGGGGGTTTCTCGGTGATGAATGGCTGCCGGGCTGGCGCTGATGCTGCATCGATAAAAAAAGACTGAATTGAAAGGCAAAAGAACAGGGGAGTACCCAGTCCTCGTAGATCCCCGCCCGTAATCCACGTTCAAAGCCAAGATTCCAAGCCTTCATTATCCGCTATTAGCAGCAATCATTCCCACAGTGTCGTCACGCACGGAGTACGGGGTCACGGTACGTGCTAAAGGTAGGTACATGTATGTACGTAGCCTCGGGTGAGTCCTACATGTGGGCTTTATTTTTTGCTAGGTTCAATGTTCGCTAGGTTAGGTATGTGGTTTGTTCGTTAGCTCTGACTAAACTCAAATGACAGGTGCTGTACTACTTAGGTACATGTACCCAGGTACCACATCTTAGTACGACCGTGAGCGTCTGATAGGGAAGTCGCCATTTACCTTTTTCTCATTATGTACAATATGTTAAGTACAATTAGAACCAGTTAAGTTGCGCATACCGCTTATTTCTAATGCTTGGTTCGCTGTTTCCCAGTCGTTTCCTTTTCCCACCGCTCCAAAGTGACGCTGTGTGGTGATCCAAATTCTTTTTTACTTACCTAGTACATACCTGTTTTCTACTTATTCTACCTAGTGTAGTATCCCACACTTCCTAGAAAGTATCCACATGCAAACAAACCATCAAGAACGCAGAACCAGATCCCGTAGCCTTTGGTTCCTCCTCATAGGGTCTTCCCCTCCCCATTCCCGATTCCTAAATTCTCAGTTTCCAGTTTTCGGTTTCCATTTCTATCGCCTCCTTCTCCCACCTTCTGCTGAGAATCTTTATCTCCCAAGTAGCCCGTCGTTGAGTCCTTAGGGTTCAGGGTCGGGACTCACTGCCTCTCAGACATTCGCGATCCAACTTTGGTACTACGCTCAACCAATATTCATCTACGTCTCGTCTCCCTTAGTACACAACACACGGCAAACGGCAACGCCTCGACGTCATATCTTAGTGACGGCCAAGAGTTTCCAAGACCCCTAAGCCTCTATGCTCAGCTGAGCCAATTTAATTCTGCCGCTCGAGGGAGAATCTTTTTTATTGCTGACGGACTATCGTTTACTCTGTCTCGGAGTCACAACGCAATACTTCGACTTAACACAATTGCCACCCACTTAAGACTTCGCCGACTGCCACCCTCTACCTTCTACCTTCTACCTGGTTAGCTTCCTTAGGAGCATATACGAAATAGCCCTTCACCCTTTCAAAACCTTCGTCAAATCTTCGAATGCTATTCGCGACATCATGGGACGGCAATTATAGCGAAACGGTCCCTAGGGACAAATACCACAAATCTTCTTGTTGGGGACTTGGTCTGCATTCTGTAGCCTCCGAAATATTCGACGAAAACATTAAACAAAATTCTTTAAACTAGCCACATTTCCACCATAAATACCGCATTTTACGAAATTAAGACAGCAAGCTGTAAGGGATTGTAGAAGGCGTACTTTGGAGACATACCAATTGACCGACGGTACATCCAAGGATTTCGAACCGCGCAAAGTTCCTATCGTATATACGAAACTACAGTTGCTATCACCATCAGTATGGCGAACGATTTAGTTCACGACTCGACCGGCGCGAATATGCTGGCTTTCGCCGCGCGTGGGGCGGGCATGCAACATGTACCGGAAGACGAGGCTGCGGCTGAAGTCGACGAACCTCCCGATAATAGACGTTCACGTCCGGAGACCCAATTTAAGCGGAGTGTCATACGAAAAACAACGGACAATTCCGAATCTCTTCTAACGAAAGCCCTTCATTCAGAGGAGGACACTATTAATTTGAGTTTCGACTCATCACGGCGACGTTCAATGAATAGCAACGTCAGCCTTGCATCTACTGCCGACCTTACCAGCGACACTGGCTTTACAAGCCCCGCGCGCACAAACACACCAAGTCCGCCGCCACCTGTAATATCATTTCCACGGTTGAACACGGACCTATATTTCGATGCGAAATCCAAATTTACTCCACATCGCAACCCCCAACAACCCATGCACGTGGCCGCTTTGAGTAAGCCAGTGGGAAGCAATGGGTTGCCAAAGGATCCTACAGTAGAAGCTTTGACCAAAAAGCGCTGCATTTCATTCGCGTGTGGACAGAAATCTGATACTACGAAGCCACCATCTCTGCAGTCAGTTGAGTCTAAGCCACCAGTAAACGAGAAGCCGCAGAGGAAATCTTGCATAAAATTTGCATGTCCTGCAAAGCTAGCTCCTCGGACACCGCCGACGCAAGATACGCAGCAGTCCGTACTCACGTCAGCCATTGCATCATTGAAGGAAAGCAATGGCTCTCCTGTTACTGTGCGTAAGCTTCGGTCGTCTTCCGCTACACGCGGGCGGTCGCTTAGGTCATTAACCCCGCGACCGTCATCACGAAGCCCAATGCCGGTTCCGTCAGCCAAGTATTTGACTGCGAACCCAAATGATTTGAATAGCGAGTCTTCTCGTTTTCATGAGTTTGCTAGTGACGAGCCGCAAGAGGAGGATTGGATCCGCCTGAATCTTCCGCCACCTGGCCGTCGATTAACTATTGACGATACACTTAAGAAGGAAAATGAGATTCGGCGGTTAGGAAAAGAAGCCGAAGAGGAAGAATTGGAAGAGGAGGAAGATGAAGAGGCGGATGAGCTAAACGATGACGAGGATGAAGAGGATGAAGTCGACCTTCCGGATGAGATCATGGAGGAAGATGAGATAGACGACGGATACGAGGTCGACAACCAGTCGGGCTATGGATCTGATGATGACGACTTTTCGGATGGTTACAATACCGATAACGAAATCGGATTTGCTGATTCAGATGATGATGATGATGATGATGGCGGGAATCTGGATTTGTGGACTCCTAGTCGTGGTCCGGTTCAAAACTCTGGAAATACGCCTATCTTCCGGCGATTATCTATCTCAGGTAACCGGTCTGATTCATCATCGTCTTCCGATATGCCCAATCCCCTGACCAGGACACGAGAGAAGCCTCGTCGGATTAAGATGCGACCTGGTACACCAGAGTTGCCCGATAGTACCGATTTCGTTTGTGGTACGCTAGATGAGGACCGTCCGTTAGAGGATGCTTACATCTCGTGTATAGCCGCGAGGCGACGCGAGAAGCTTCATCCAATCCCTCAAGATATCGACCCAAGCTTCCCAACGTCCGAGCCGGAAGACGAAGATATTGAACTCGATATCCCTGTCCGCGAGAGTGATGGTCACCTATCTGAGGACCCGTATGACATTGAGAATGGTGCTGAGCGACGAAGAAAGAAGATCGACCAGATATCGCCTCGACGATATCATTCTCCTCCCCCTAAGCGTCACCACTCACCCCCAAAGCCACGAGGCCGATCGCCCAAGCGTCTTTTCGACGGGTGTTCACCTCGTCGACTCGTCTCGCCGGCTCCAGGCCCTGTAGTACAATCCCCTCCGTCATCGCTAGTTCACGATGCGAACGGTGGAAGGCATGAATTCAAGAGTCTTGCTTTTCGGCCTGGATTGACGCATACCAAGTCACTCCCACGAGCTCCTGCAATGTTCCCGCATCATCTCAAGGGCCATCGTCGACCGGGCAAGTCTTCGGGCACTACAACGAAACGTCACGTACGAGGTGCGATTGACATTGTCAAAGGCCTCGAGCAGAAGCGCCAGCGCCGGAAAGAGAAATTTAAGGAGAAGTATTTCCAGAAACACTGCAACAAGGCGCGAAAAGGTCAGGTTATTGAGAAGAAGCCTCAGCCTGGCCAAGGCGCCGAGAGGATGCGAGAGATCGGATTACTCATGGCTGGGAAGTTAGGCCCGGACCAGTTCGTCCTGTCCATCTAGTGGAGGCTTTGTTACGGCTACTGAGTGCAGGATTGCATTATTCACTATAATCCTTCATTGCATCTATTTTTCTTTTATAGACGGAATTGGTATCATCAGTACTGAGACCGTTATTGTACATAGTTTTTATTTTTCTCTCGTTCTCCATCAACTTTGGCGGGTCGATATTCTCGCAGGACAATGCATACTTCGCATTTCACGGCACAGGGGCGGGCAGCATTGGTCATTCATGATACCACTTGGGAACGGCACATCGAGCATTAACGGCGGCGGCGATCTGGCTATATACTTGAAATTGAACATATTTGTTGACACATGATATATGATTGCCTGTTTGATCGTGCATTTGGACATGAAATGGATGAAATAGTTTATGATGATGATAATGATAATTATCTGATGGGATGGCAATTCAATATAGTATACATTGCTCTGCTCATACTGTCTACATTAAATACGATCTTGCGCGCAATAGTACATAGATTTGTGAAATGATGCCAAAGCCCGATGGGTTTCTACAATTTGCATGCTGCATCTGCATGCAGTTTTCATTCGGGATGTTGTTCGTTGTTAGCGAGTATCGGTGTCACCGGTATTCGTGATAAGCACCTGCTCAATCATGACTTTTACTAGTGCTCATACATTATGTACATGTAAACTTGCGATGTACTGGGTCACGAGAAGGACACTACATAAGTTTTGATTGGGCTTATCTCATGTTATTATTTTGGTGATGTCAGGTGGTTTTTGTCAGAATATTTTCCGAGTCTTGTTGGAATTTGATATGTGGCTCCATAAATCCGCATGGCGGGTACGTACACGTTGTCAGCTATATTGAGGTACCTAGGTACATACATGCCCTAGGTATGTATATTTAGATACTTAGCCACCTGTGGCTAGCGGGTGTGGCTTACTGGCCGCAAGTACTTCCAGGTTGTCCTTAACATCATTCAATTTTCTTGGGGACGGCCTCGGACTCTATATCATTCACCTATCGTCCGCCCATCTCCGCGAACATCCTACGAAGACAGCACACCTTCGATTCAAGAGTGCACTCTTACGTCTACCAAACTCGACTATTTTTGTCTAATCACAGCTACCGAATACTGTCAAGATGTGGATTGTCCAGTGGTGTTAGTTCCCTTCGTAGCTCGCGAGTCGAGTCTTATCAAACCGATCCGATCCTTTGTAATGGATGGCCATGGCTGACGTTTTTGTCCGCAGTCTACGATGTCCTCTCGTCGCTCGGCTTGATGAACAAGCATGCTAAGCTGCTGTTCCTCGGCCTCGACAATGCGGGAAAGACGACTCTACTACACATGCTGAAGGTTCGTTGGTGGTTCTTTTTCTCCCCGCGCCCCGAGTCGGTGTCCTATATCGTACCCGGACAACTTCTCGAGTCTGCTGCTGGAGCTTGCGTTTATTTTATTTTATCATGGATGGGAAGGCTAACGAGATGTAATTATAGAATGACCGAGTTGCCATCCTACAGCCCACCCTACATCCCAGTATGTCGCTTACAGCTATACGATAATCGTTGAGCGCACGTGTCAGTCTACTAACATCACGCTAGCATCCGAAGAACTTGCAATTGGAAACGTGCGCTTCACCACCTTCGATCTAGGTGGTCACCAGCAAGGTATGCTTTATGGCGCTGCTATGACACGTTGAATTTCAACTGATAGGATGATGTCGTCTAGCCCGTCGGTTGTGGAAGGATTACTTCCCGGAAGTCAACGGAATTGTTTTCCTAGTCGACGCCATGGATCACGAGCGTCTCCCCGAGTCCAAGGCCGAACTCGACGCCCTTCTGTCCATGGAGGAGCTTGCCAAGGTGCCTTTCGTCATCCTCGGAAACAAGATCGACCACCCCAATGCCGTGTCCGAGGACCAGCTCCGCCACGAATTGGGCTTGTATCAGACGACTGGAAAGGGCAAGGTCCCATTGGAGGGAATCCGGCCCATTGAGGTCTTCATGTGCTCTGTGGTGATGAGACAAGGTTCGTCGCACCAGACTCACTTCCGACGTAGTTCCAAGAGGTCAAAACTAACATCTGATAGGATACGGTGAGGGTATAAGATGGCTTTCTCAGTACGTCTAGACGGTAATCAAAAGGAAGGAGAGTAGCGTGTGACGATATATGAGACGAGATCAGAGGACGAGACGAGCATGCGAATTAAGACGATGCGATGGCCGTCTGGGAAACAAACGGAATTCTTTGACAGCATGCTACCTTACTACCATACCGAAGTTCGATGTTTTCCGGGATATTTCATTGGAGTCAATGGCTAGAGGCATTTGCCAGATCGCAATAATGAATTGAGCATTACCCACTTCTCACCACCCGAGTGCCGTCAGTTGTTCTTGGGGTATTTTGCACATCTATGAATGAGAAGTCTTCTACTGTTATTTTGTTTTTATATATAGCGATGTGTTCAGACAATCGAGTTAACCCGTATTACTACACTGTTTCTCGCATTGACGATCTATCGGCTTTGGTTTTATTAGTCGCCTATCAACATGATCTCTGGGCTTGTTAGAGCTGCTAATCCGGCATTGACGGCTTAAGCATAGGTAAATCGGCTTTACCTAAACTTAGATGGCGCCGAGGTCCCGATAGTCTTCCTAGTATGTAGATTAGCCTGCTTAAGAGATATCTCCTTACAGGGTCCAATCACCAAACTGAAAACGATAGACATGCACTGGGGTTTCCGAGTAGCCGGTGTCCAATGCGGCTCGGTGAGGCTCATTCAGTACCCAAGCCCCCGGGAAATTAGCTGACGGCAACTCGGATAGCTCGAAGGTAAAGGGGCTGATCATCTTCAGCATTTGGCCGTATTCACGGAATATGGGCCAAGTTAATAAATCAAAGCAAATTGGACCCTGATATGGGGTCTGAATACATACATACATAGCCTCAGAGATATTCAAGTTCCACTAAACCCACGGAAAGTTAACTTTGGTTGACCGGAATAAGCGAATGTCGTTTATTAATGGGCCAATCAGATTAATTAGGGGGGTTTATGATTAACCTATTCCGTACATAGGTAGGTACTTATGTACCTACACCACGGCTACCCACATTGTATGTATGTCCCAGAGTGCTCAGAATTCTTCTTATTTCTACATAGTATTGTCGACGTCGCACGACATAAATAGTATCGGTGCAGAGTATGGACATACATACATTACCTATGCATTACATGTGGGTGCATATGGCACGACCAAACCTCGGCGTGGCCAGAAACCGCGGGTTATCGGGATTCTTCTAGAATATACAATAGGTATCTAGATACATATAATATAACGTTGCTGCAGCGTGGAGCGGATGTCTCCGCGCTTTCAGCTCAACAATTTTCTAAAGTACCCGAGTACCTTACCTAACCTACATGTATGTATGCCCTACATTCAACATTGAAGTGTGGATGCATTTGACCTAAAGCAAACGGCGCTCGGACCAATAGAAATCATTTGTACAAGCGCGGCGCGGGACGGGCTTCGACGTCATTTCGCCCAAGTTACACATGTCATTCGACCCCAGATGCTGCGACTGGAGGTATTCGTTTTTTCCCGTGGTTTTTGAGGTGCCACAGGTTGTAACTCGCGAGATTAATTGATGTATTGGGCAGTGGCTGTACAAAGCTCCGTTACCTACATGTTATTTCTAAGCCGAGGTACACACCTACCTTCTCTTTCTCTCCCCCTAATCCCGCTAGGATCGCCGCTGCATACATACATATTATACATTACATATATACACTCTTAATCATTATAATCATGTCCCTTGGCATTGCACGTCAAGACGGCGAGCATGGCATGTGAATCTCCCTCTTCCTCTTCCTCTTCCTCTAAACCTAGGGTGACCTTCCTTACTGGTCGGCGCCATCACAACTATGGCTTTCCTCCCGAGGCTTTTGATTACACGACACTACCTGACGCCGATCGCGAGTTTCTCCCGCCCGAACACCTCGCCGCTTTCGCCGCCGCCCTGAGCGCTCCCGAACCAGCAAATAGCACAACCGACGATACCGCGTCGTTGAAAAGCCCTACTATAAGAAGCCCGGGTAGTCTGGAGCTAACACGGTCCGGCTCAGTAGCATCTGTCGATGCCATAGCCCCCTTTTCCGAGGGCGCTGCGACCCAGAATGGCTCCCAGAGCGGCATGTTCATCACAGCGCAGAACGATTGGGCTCCGGTGAATGAAAAAGTACCTAAACACGGTCGCAGAAAGAAGAAGAAAAAGACGACGCTAGGTCGTCGCACCGTAGACGAGACTCGAGAAGGTTACCTATACGGGCTGCTAAAATGGCCGTTCCTCTTCTTCGTGGGCATGTGGATTATAGGATTAGCCGCATCGTATCTATGGACGCGGTTCTACATCTTCGTATACGAATACTTCGTCGCCTGGAGAGGGAAACGAGAAAAGCTGCGCCAGAACATGAGAGCCGCTGGCAGTTACCGGGAATGGGTCGAGGCGGCTAAAGAGCTGGATTCGTTCCTAGGAAATTCGCAATGGAAGGAAGAAAACGAGTTTGCGTACTACGACTCCAAGACGGTCCGGCGCGTCTGGGAGCAACTCCGCAAACATCGGAGAGCTGCCGAAGCGCAGGAAGCAAAACTGACGGGTGCGCCTGGGTATGAAAATGGGAACGTGTCTGGGAAGAGTGAACATCGCAAAACCATCGAGGAGCTGAAGGCTTTGACGGAAGCCTGCGTGAAGAATAACTTTGTTGGAGTAGAGAATCCCAGGCTGTATAGCCAGACATACTACGGGACTAAAAACTTGGTTCAAAACTTCGTGGATGAAGGTTCGCTAGGCCCCCTTTTTGAAGCTCATAACCAGTAACACGTTGATATAGCAAAACTAACATAACTACTTAACCTAGTGGAGAAGAGCACACGCTTCCTGGTCCATACCAAGCAGCTGTCGTTTGAAGAAAAGCGAGCAATATTCAAACGCATGCACGCAAACTTCGGACGCACTGCATTATGTCTATCCGGCGGTGCCTCTTTCGCATACTACCACTTCGGCGTTATCAAAGCGCTACTCGACGCAGACTTATTACCAGACGTCATCACGGGCACGAGCGGCGGTGCTTTAGTAGCATCCCTCGTTGCGACACGGACTAACGACGAGTTGAAACAGCTATTAGTGCCCGCGCTGTCGCATAAGATCAAAGCTTGCTCGGAGCCGATCAGCACCTGGTTCCCGCGATGGTGGAAGACGGGCGCGCGATTCGATTCCGTCGATTGGGCGCACAAGAGTAGTTGGTGGTCCCGCGGGTCGACGACGTTTAGGGAGGCGTACCAGCGCACGGGAAGGATCCTCAATGTTAGCTGCATTCCGGCCGATCCACACTCGCCGACCATCCTCTGCAACTACCTCACGTCGCCCGACTGCGTCATCTGGTCTGCCGTCCTGGCATCTGCCGCCGTTCCCGGGATCCAGAATCCTGTAGTTCTCATGATGAAGAACCCAGATGGTTCGCTGGTCCCGTATTCGTTTGGTCACAAGTGGAAAGACGGCAGCTTGCGGACTGATATACCTATTAAGGCTCTTAACCTGCACTTCAACGTCAATTTCACTATCGTCAGCCAAGTCAACCCGCACATATCCCTATTCTTCTTCTCGTCCAGAGGCACGGTCGGGTCCCCCGTAACCCACCGCAAGGGCCGCGGCTGGCGTGGTGGATACCTAGGCTCCGCGACAGAGCAGTATGTAAAGCTAGACCTAGCAAAATGGCTCAAGGTCCTTAAGCACTTGGAACTCCTCCCTCGGCCCCTCGGTCAGGACTGGTCGCAAGTCTGGCTGCAACAATTCAGCGGCACCATTACGCTCTGGCCACGAACACAGGCCAGCGACTTCCTGCACATACTATCGGACCCCGACATGGACAGCCTAGCGCGCATGCTGCACGAGGGCCAGCAGAGCGCGTTCCCGAAGCTCAAGTTCATCGGGAATAGGCTGAAAGTTGAGCGGCTGATTGAGCAGGGCAGACGGGAGACGCTGGCGGGGATCAGGAGGGGCAGCATTGAGAGCATTATCGACGAGGAGGATTTAAGGGGCTTGCTGAGAGTGGGCAGTGGGACTACAGATGATGAGACGACCGAGGGGACGGAGGATGTGGACGAGGAAGCTGTTGAAGACGGGGACGCGGCGGTTATATTTGACAGTGTGGAGAAGAGTTTGAAGACGGAGTAGAAGAGATGATGCTGTGAACCGTGGTTTTGTGTTTTGAAATGTTTCTCTCGGTCAAGCGTGAGGTGCATGGTATAGGGTTATGTATACATAGGTAGGATGTATACATAGGTAGGAGTTAGTCGATGATTCCCCGGGGCCTCGGTTGAAGAAGTAGAAGAAGGGAGAGTGGCTCGGCATTAATTAGCATTAACCAGTTAGATTTAGCTGTGGTGGTTCTCTATCCTCTCGGATCTAGGTTGGAGACTTGGAATCATAGGAAGTATAACGAGTTCCAATACAATGAGTTCTCTCTAGGTAGGTAACTAGAAATATATTAGTTATGGTAGCTTAGACTGACCCATCATCTCCTCTATGTGATAATTTTTCCTTCACTCTAGATTCAGTGTTAGTTGCCCAGCTAGGCAGGCATATCTTGAAGTCCAGGCAAAACATTAGTGGGATTTGATCACGGCTATTACGGCATAAAGAATAAAAAGGAGTCGGATTACCATCGGCTCGGAATAGCGCACTTAAGGTCAGATGGTGCTTATCCGGATTACCACGGGTTCGGATAGCGGAGTCATATATAAAGAGGGCTTGAAGCCACCACGGTCCGTCTAAGACAGGGCTTCATTCTGTGGGAAGATGACGCCTGTCCAAGCAAGCCAAAGATCATGACATGGTTGATAATGCATTCAAGTGCCCATGTGAGCAGGTTATCAACATGGTGGGATGGTAACGACAAATCTAGTTGGCCGCCGTGCTTGGTTTCATATGTAGGATGGAGGTTGCTTTCGTCATTGACTACCTACATCCTAATACTCAGAATTCTCGCCCACATTTTTGTCCTGCATCCAGCCATACTCCATGTGTCTAGCCGCGGGTGATTATCTGCTCGCAAGTTTATTCTGCGGAAGTCGCCCTAATTCTTGGATATAGATTTGCGATGCCTTGATTCGACGGACACCTGTGATGTTGTGTCGTCATGATAGAAAAAAAAAAAAAGAAAGGGGGACATGGCGAAAATGGGGGGTGACCCTTGCTACCAAGCGTCAGTCCCCGGTTTCAACTCTTAGAAGAACAATACGTCTGCTCGTGTAGTGACACTCGGCCCTTCTCTTGTTCGCAGTATGTTTGGGAGTGCTAGTCCGTAGGTATAAATCCCCGTCCGCGGACGGTAAACGAAGTATACTCCAGACGTTCTAAATCTATCCAACCCCTAGATGTTTGCCCCCTTTCGGACCTACTTTCACTTTCATCTGGATTACGTAGTTCTCTATAGACCTCCTAGGTAAGTACAGAAAGCTTATTAGGTAGGATATATGATTGACTTACCGGCAAACAGCTATTACATATTTAGTAGATAGTCGGTGGGTTGACAAGTGGGATTGGTTCTGCCACAATATGGTGCTTACCAAGAAAGAAAACGAAACGGACGGGGCCGCCGCGAAAGCCAAATACGATCTGGAGCTCACAGACAATGTAATTGCCGCTACGGGTTCGAAGGCCCATCCTCGTCTAAAGGAGATCATGCCAAGCCTGATACGGCACCTACACGACTTTGCTCGGGACATAGACTTGACAATCGCGGAGTTGGCGGCTGGGATTGAACTAGTAAGCCAACTTGACGCCGGCTAGAAATCCAAGAGACTGTTGACATATCATCATAGATAAACGAGGCAGGTCGCATGTCTACCGACAAGCGTAAGGAGACAAGTATACTATCCGATATCCTCGGCCTAGAACCCCTCGTAGACAATATCACATCTAAATTGCCCCCCGACAGCAGCGAATCTGGAGTAGTTACGCCTTCGACCGCCACCGGGCCTTACTACCGCAAAGACGCGCCGCTTCTGCCTAATGGTAGCAGCATCATAAAAGCAGCGCCGGACTCATTCTGGTACCTGCAAGTCGAGAAGTTGCTAACACACCTGTCGGGGCGAGTGTTGAGCGCGTCGACAGGAAAACCAGCGCCAGGTGCCATCGTAGACCTCTGGCAAGCGGCCCCGAACGGGAAATACGAGCTGCAGGATCCAGAGCAGCCGGACATGAATCTACGAGGACGCTTCCAGACAGACGAGCTAGGCCGGTATGCGCTATACTGCGTGCGCCCGGGCTCATACAAGGTTACACCAGACGGGCCCGCCAGTCGCTTGCTCGAGCTGCTCGACCGCCACCCGTACCGGCCTGCGCACATACACTTCATGATAACGGCGCCGGGGTTCCGGACCTTGACCACGCAAGTGTTCGACCGTGATGACAAGTACGTTAAAGAAGATCCGGTCTTCGCCGCTAGGGATGAATTGCTGGCGAGTTTTGAGCCGTGCGAGGGAGACGGAAAGGCCCACTGGACGGTGAAGTATGATTTTGTACTGAGTGAGGCGTGAGAATAGATGGATTATATTAGTAGTTTGCTTTTATCCTATAGGTACGATGTCTACCCTCAAAGGGATAGCCATCACTCTTTAACTAGGTGTAGCTCATACAATGATAGTGTCAAGAGGTTCTCTTATTATGTGGTGAGAATTAAAGAGGCTAGTAAGGTTAGATATACTTATTAGTTGTTTGGTGTATACTGATTCGAATAGTCTTTATGTCATATATACCTAGGTAGACATACCCTTCTCAATCTCGTATAGGTGAGAGGCGATGATAGAATCCGGGCTCATAATGTTTCAATAAGTAGGTACCTATGAACATGTGACGTAAAAGGATGTTATATCGGTAAAGATTCTGATAACTCCACTCTCCCCTCCAAAATCTTAAATACTCTCTTATTTCATTGCACCTTCCTATAGACTAAATGAGAAGCAAGAAAGGTAGTTCCAAACTACCTAATACTATATGAACGGAAGGTGGAAAAAGGTACGTACCAGGTTTAAAACGTGGCAGAAGTTTGTTTGTTTGCGGTCACAGCTTCTCTCCAGCAGGGCTGCAGCTGTAACGGCTCTTGCCGCTAAAAATAAAATAAAAAGGGTTTCCCCTACCTGAAAAGTCCAGAGCAGGCTGGTACATAGCTACCCCGGCCTTGCCTTGCTTTTTTAGAACACTAAAAGACCTAAGAGACACCCATTCGTCATCAAAGCCAAAAACTTGTAACCTACCATAATTATTCTTATTCTCTTATTCATGATGCCCATTTAAACAATGTCGCGTAGTCTGCCAAGGTAACCAGGAGTCTATTTACTTCCACCAAGTCAATCAAACTTCGCTGCGACAATGGCGAAGCTCATCCCTACCGCGAAGATCACCCTCACCTATCCTCTCTATTCATGCGACTTCGACCCGACAGATCCTAACCAGCTCGTCGTCGCAGGTGGTGGCGGCCCGGGACGAAATGGTGTGGGGAATAAAATAGTAAGGAATCGCATACCATCATACTCTAGCTTTTTGTATTTCGATGGATTAACTAGGGGATATGTTAGACCGTTCTCAACACCTCTAACCCGGAAGAGCTATCGGAAGTCGCCGAGCTCGAACTTAGCAAAACCGAAGACAACGTCACGACACTCGCCATCGGTCCTCGAAGAGATAGATCCTTAACCGTATTTGCCGGCGTCAATTCAAGCCCGGAAGAGATTAAGAAGGGCAAGAATGACCATTTTCGTATTTTCGGTATTGACGAACCCGCTAAATCGGCCAAGACTAGCGGTGTAAGGGTTTCCATTTCCGAGGTCGCGCGCCATGCGCTGTTCGTGCATAAGGATACAAGCGCCTACCAAAGACTCCTCCGACTGTCCCACCCGTACGAAAACCTCTCACAGTTAGGTGCCGCCGCCACAGGACTGTCCAAGCAGCCCGAGATTGCGCTTTTCGATGTACCATGCGAAGGAGGCGGGAGGTGGAAACCGAGGGGTAGGCTGGATATCCCTAAAGAAGCAATGGACCTAGACGTCGTTCAGACAGGGCCCGACACATACCAACTGGCATATTGCAATGACCACGAAATCTTTACCGTCGAAGTATCCAAGGAGGAAATATCGGAGCCCAAATGCGTATATACTATTACCCCGGATGAGGGTGACACGGCTAAGGCGTCGTTCAAATCTTTGCGCTACCTGACACCTGGCTTTTTAATCACGGTAGTCAACAAGGCTAACTCCCAGGGAGTTGCGCTACATGGTTACCGCCTGCCCGCGAAAGAGCAAGACAATGCTCGTCTAACGATCAAGGCTAGGCTCCCAAAGGGTGTCTCTAAGGCAACAGGCCTTGCAGTGAGGAATCTATCACCGACTTCGTCCCCGACGGATGAGACGGGCGAGACCCAATTCGTAGTCGCGGTTGCAGGGAACGATGCTTCAATATCGCTCTTCACGTTAGAACATAAATCCGCTGCTAGGGTAGTCCTCCTCGCCGACCTGGCGCCGTTCCAAGTGCTCAAAGGTGTTCATCCTTCAAATATAACCGGGCTCTCGTTTTCCCCATTTTTGCCGCCAAAATCAGCGTCGAAAGAGACGGCCGATCTCACCGTCAAGCTGGCCAGCGTCGGTGTCGGTTTCACGACAGTAGTACACAGCATACCGCTTAAAAAGCACGTTGATAAGTCTACCGCGAAAGAAAACGGAGGGCCTTCAAGCCCGTCGCGCTACGTAGTTGCGCTGAAATCTAAGGGCCAATCGCCGGTCACACCTATCGCACTTTGTACAATTGTGATACTTCTCATCGCTTTAATCGGGCAGGTCTTCCTCGAGGCGAAAGATATCGGCAGTCCCGTCCTCGGGATTAGGCCTTATCTGCCTACGTCGTGGACGCAGCCCTTGCGCAAAGTCCCCACGACCAACGAAAAGTCGATCAAGGATTTACTATCGGACGCTAACGCACATCATACCCAGCCGCTCGTGATTCGACATGACGAAACCGGGGAAGCGGACCCTCGGGGTCTGCCCCCTCTGCACGTTGGTATCCACGACGAAGAGGTCCACGGCCCCGCCACATCGTGGGAAAACCTAAGCCCGGACGAACAGCAACTCTGGAAAGATCGCCTGAAGAAGACGGGCCATTGGTTCGAGGACATGGGCGAGTCCATCTTCAAGGGCGTGTTTTTCGGCGAGATAGGCGGGGCTATCGGAAATATAATCGGAGAGGCCCTATAGCGGTTTCTTTAATTTGTTACGCTACTACGTCGCCACGTGGAAAATGGAACGAGAGAAGAAGGACATGTCATGCCATGAATCTTCCTCGAGATGATTGTTATGCTACGAAGAATGCAGGATGTATAATGTGATCTGTATAAAAGTATAGTACCTGGGAAATATCAATAATTACGTTCACCCCTTGTGTGCAATAGGAATGTGTATGAGCTTGGCGGTCTACTTTATTACGAGAGAGGAATAAGATGGCAAGCTCCAATGCTGTCGTATCATACGGAGGGAACTTATATAACTTGGATGCCGCTTCATAGCAGGTACTCTTGATCTTAAGCAAGAGCGAACAGTTCTTTGTCGTCGTGAGATGTCCTAACCTGACGATTATCTTGAAGGTCCTGGACTTGGGAAGACGGCATAAAGCATTCTCAGTCGGGTCTGGGGAATTCACAGAATATTAGACATGATAGCCATTCTTAAACGAACACGTCACCGTCATCTGAGTGGAGCTGGTGGGTCGGTATATGGATACAGATTCGTTTACTCGCGAAGATTGGCTGGTTATAAGGCGTCAAAATTGTTATTGCTGCGATGGAATGCAGAGGGAGTTTACTCTTGTTTTGAGTAAAGGTATTATTATTGCACAGGGTGAGAGCCATGGGTTTAATTTATAATATAGCGGTGTATTAGTGACTATATTGACCCATGCACCCCTATGTAAGAATAGGGGGGAGGTATACCCTTCTTATATAGACCTCATATCTAGCGCCTACCCTACAAGATAATCTTATATATATATATATATTATATATATACCCTGACGATATAGTAAACCTTCTGACCAGCTTCAATTGCTTCTCATCTATCAGAGCCTCCTTTAACAGTATATTATCTCAGCCACGCTGTTGGCTTAGGTACTTGAATAAATCAGAAGAGCCCTCGGGGGTGGTAAGCTTGTTGTCTTAAAGATCGACTATCGTAGTAAAACTTACCCCTGGCTTAGCAACGCTTGCTCTTACAACGAACACCCCCCCGGAAGCATTTGACGAATTCTCGGATACGGACGTGATAATAAATTGCATGCAAGCTAGGAAATACATTAAACATTATTATTGGACGGAAACTATGGAAAGTATCTATTCTGGTCGCCGCCAGATTGGACACCTCATACAGCATATGATGCTGTGTAATATATCTAGGTCCCTCGAGTAGCTTATCGCAAATTCTTCCTCCAGGATATACGTGAATTGCTGAAGATGAGTGAGTTATAAATAGTCTCCAGTTTGATAGGTCGAATTTGATCGACGATCCATCTTCCCAGATCAACAGTGAAGCTTCAGCGCCCGGCTCATGAGATCCGGTGTCGTCTTGTCGATTTCCTCCAAGTAGAGGTCAAGCGTCTGCGACGGGAAAGGCGGGCTCAAAACCGCCCTGATGTCGACGTCCATGCTGAACCAGATCTGGAGCATGACAAACAACCACTCGGTGTTGTCCTCGTCCAGGAGCTCCATCGCTCTCGCGTATCGCAGCTTCATCCGGACGAACTGCATCGGCCTGTTCTCGTCGAAGGCGACGTCCCGGAGACGCAGCTTGCCGTGCTCGAACTTGACCGCCGCCACCGCCGGGGTGAGGCGGAACCGGCGCTCCAGGTCCACCAGGATCTCGGACAGGCCCGCGAGTCGCAGGGCGCGCCGGTCGACGCGCGTTAGCTCGTGGCTCCACCACATGGCTGCCGGGCCGTTGAGCAGGGCCTCGAGCCACTGCAGGATTTGCCTCTCGTTGGCTGCGGCTGCGAGAGGGTCTTGCAGGAAGGATTCGATGTGCTCGACGAAGAGGTCCACGTCGGTGAAGACCAAGGTGCAGCCATCGGTCACCATGCCCGCGCCCCGCTCGTCGAGGTGACTAGGGTTGAACCGGCCAACATCACCTCGTTTGAGCTGTGAGATTGCTGGGGTTCTGGGGGTAGACTGAAGGGCCTGTTCGACGGGGCTTGGTTTTCCTGCTTGCTGAAGAGGTTGTGTGGCTGGACTGTGTGCACCGACGGGCTTCTGTAGATGCAGCAGTATATCGGCTGCCTGCTTCGTGAGATCGGCCATCTGGTCTTTGAGGTTGTCCTTTTCTTGGGACAGATGGAGGATCTGAGTAGCGAAGTATCGAGTCATATCGAGAACCATGTTGTGACCAGAAAGAGGTTCTAGCATGCATAAGAAAGAGCCGGAATCAGTTTGCTCTTCGGTAGCCTTAGTCTTTTGACATGTCGTCGTTAGCTGAGGCTGAGGCTGTTTGACAGCTTGGTCATTGGCTGATTGATTGGCGAGCCCGTCAATGTCTTTCTTGGTGGATTGAGCCATCGCGGTCGAACCAACGTAGTAGACTTATTGAAGATGTGAAGAGTCAAGACCTGGTTTGAGTTTTTACAAAGCTGCATGTATGAAAAAGGCGAATTCAAATACAAGGTAGCCCTGAGGTAAGTGACTAAGTTGTTTGCTCAGCTTATTTGTTGCTGAGATAGCTATTGAGGCTATAACCACGTCAGGTATCCATGCCAGGTGTTGGCGGTCGTCTAGCGACAGCGACCTGGTGATAGGCTAACTTGAAACAGAAGCATCACACTTGGAGGCTTCGTTGTCGTTGAATACGACTGACTCATGGTTATTTCATGATATTATAAGGGGCAACGCCAGTCATCTCTAAAGTTCAACGGCCGGGTACTACTGCGAGGGCCAAATAGACGATTTGGTGTGCTTTGACGAAGAAGATATCATCATAATATCTATATCGGGGAATATATAAAGGCGTGTCTGTCTCCATTGTGGTGCGTGAATGGTATAATGTTGAGTTGATAGCTCTAGAGACCCATGAGATTGATACGAAAGGACATCACGTACTTGCCCGGTTGAAGATGGGCTCAAAGCAATATTGATTTTATTCTATATATCCATATCTACCTGGGTAAGTACCTAGGTAGGTAGGTAGGTAGGTAGGTAGGCAGTCTACCTACACAGGCAATTCTTTGATATGCCCGAGTTAACTATACACCAGACTTAGAGCTTTCATCTTCAGCAAGTCTCTTGCAACGATATGTCTAACCAGCACATGGTCTTTAAGAAACTAACTACCTTGGAATACTATCCTTAACTACTATGTATTAAGGGTTAACTTTCTCCCGTATCTTTGCATAAGTAGGTAGCCAAAACTCGTAGCTATAAATAAGGATGAACATTTAACAGGTCGTCTAACACAATTACCAGGTGTAGCGGCACGGAAACCAAGCCAGCCGGTGACGTGACGCTTCTGTAAGCCATGCTGGTTGATCGTGTCATATGTAGGTCCGGAAACACTTTACCAGCATGTAGACGGCCTCCCCATCGTAAAAAAAAAAAAAGGGGGGGGGGGGGGGATTACATTCCTACATCGGATTTTGCTTTTGGCCGTGCTCTACTGAGAGAAAACATTGGTTGATGCTAATATATTATTGGACCTTTGATCGCACTAGAACTAGTTATAGACAAGAACCCGAACGGCTCAGAACCAAGGGGGTATCATCGGGGAGTATATATTGCTTGATAATGTGTCGATGACGTTGTCATAGTCTTAGATGCCGTAGCAATGGGCTGTTTATGTTTTGCTTGTTTTAGAGACACACGAGAGAGAGAGAGAGAGAGAAAGAAAGAGAGATAGATAGAGAGGGACAGAGTATAAGGACGTAGGAATAAGCATCATATGATTTGCCGTCTCTTCCCCCGTTGTGCATATGCGAGTTTGGACCTCAGGGTCTCCATGTGTCTTCTTCATGCTGCAGTAGTATGATACTGCTAGTATCATAGCAGCCAGCCCCATCGCGTGGATATTTCCCTAGGCGAGGTATAGCTGCAGCCGGTAAACGTACCTGGCTATGTATGTCGCAAGGCCGTATGGCTTAGTCCTGTAACTAAGCAGACCCCGACTCCTACATATCGGTCTCCATCGCCAGCTCCGCATTACCAATGATTACGACAGGCTGGAGAATAATATAGACAGACATATTCGTCAGCTACATGTGCATGCTGCATGCTACCATACGTACATATCTTAGCTGCCAGACATGCTACAGGTATCCCAAACTTGTAGCCACTCTCCACGCATCAACCCTTAGTCACGAAGTGGTGGCGGCGTAAGCCTGACCCTTCCGCCCCGCAGGCGTCGAGTTCTAGAAATCATCGATTCGATGCGTTATTGGCGACGGCGAAGTTGCTCAAATTGCTCGGGTTGTTCAAGAAAACTAGATTTATTACTACTCACATAGTTCCACTCGGAACTTACCAGCGTAGAGTGTCCAGCGTAGAGTGTCCAGCGTAGAGTGTCCAGCGTAGAGTGCCCAGCGTAGAGTGTCACTCACGACGGCGGCCAACAACCACGTCTCGTCACTCCGAGCCCGCGCAAACTCTTGCTGAGTAGAACAATCAGTCAATCAGTCAATCAGTCAATCAGTCAATCAGTCAATCAGTCAATCAGTCAATCAGTACGCCCGGTGCTCGTCCATCGACTGACAGCGAACAGCTTGCCTCCTTGAACCCGGCGTTTCTTGGTTCCGACCAATAAATGGTTGGCGGTCTAGGATCTTGCATGCATGCATGACCCTGCAATGCTGGCAGGTCGAGCCCGTTTCAACTCTTTGACTTTACATCAATTACAAGAGACTCCTTTTTGCTATGGTGGCGGCAATCTTCCGACCTGAGCTTGGCAGTCGAGATGGCGTCTAACGGCTTCTCTCCCGCGCTACACCGTGCCCAATGAAGGATTAAGCCTCCTGGCCTCCTGGCCTCCCGATGTTCGTAGCCCCTAGACCGCCTTGATTACTTCATCGATGCTGTAGGCTCTGTAGTGACTGCATACCGCTTAAAGCCTTAGGAGATCCGAAATTAGTAGCAATACGCCCTCGTCTCCATCGAAAGATTCCCGGGAAGCTTCTCACCGGCTGCGGTAGTCGCTGAATCGCCGAATCGCTGAGAGGCTCTGTCTGGAATGGACAGCCGGCGAGCTAGCTCCCCTAGTCCCGCGGCAGCCCTACGGACAGCATACCTAAACTGGTCAAGAAACCACGCCGTTACAGGAAGACGCGCGGCGTATGCGTTTGATACGTCACCTGTCACTTAAAGCTGTACCTACCTATCTCGGTAGTTATTGCTGTCGATTACATACTATGTAGTAATAGTAAGAGGGAGCTTTGGTAACGTCCCCCTTTTCTTTCTTTCCTTTCGTGCGTAAGATAAATCTCCTAGGGATTCGGTCTAACTTATTACATATCGGCATCTTACGATCCTTGGTGAGCCTCATTCGCATAATGGGGACGCAAGGCACTCGGTTCATTCCGTGCTAGCTACTAGCTAGCATGTGCTGTCCTCGTATCTTAATAAACGAGATAAGTTGTGCCTCGGAACTTGAAAAAGAACCTACTAACTACCCTACCGAGTAAGGGGATTGGGGTGAACGGCCCGCGAATGATTGATTTGATGGATCGCTCTAACGCCAAAAGCAGGGATCCGACCCATAAATGCTATATTTTCGGTTTGGTTCAGGCACCTCGTCATTCTGGATTGACATGCCCGTTTTTTTGTTCTGATCCACACGTGTTAGGACTGGGTCCCCCATACACACCCATACGCACTGGGAAATGCGTGGTAGTGTATTGTACATACCTACCTAAGGTATTGTACAATAATATAGGTAGGTATGTAGTTATGTAGATATCTACTAGGTATAGTACTATATACCAAATAGTATCTAAGATATCTATAAGATATCCGATCGAGGCGTCCAGGTTGCTTTGCCTTGTTTATTAAAAGCTCAAGCTATCCATCAATAAAAGCCAAGGAATATAATGGGATTACTCATCTTAGACCTCCTGAACAGTACACTAACAAGTGGGAAGTGGGAACCTCGGACTTGAGACCTTGCACGCGGACGAAAAGCCCTATCTTCGCGAACTCGATGGGAGAATACTACTTAGTACTGTATCCTAATGTACAGTAGCAATGATCTTGGTCGCAACCGGAGGCTTGGCCTTTGGGGGTCGAAAGGCGCAGGGTTCTTTACGCGGGGCCGGGAAGCGTTAAGTATGTAATCTAGTTAATAATAAGCGAGAATAAGGAGGACAGGCTTGACAGTTGACAGGGCAGCAGGGGGGGTATGGCCGACTTCTGACAGGGAATATGATCCTGAGATGCGATTTGGTCGTCAGATATGTGACAACCAGGACCCCCTGCAAATACCATCCCATGATTCCCATTTCCCGTTCCAAGGATTTTCAGTTGACAGACGCTCGGACCCCTATTAGCAGATGCTTCTAGGTTAAACAAGTACTTGCGGTTTCAATAATTGGACTGAGCGATCCGACCTGCCTTGACGTCGGCTTTGCTTCTCGATTTGGGCTTACCGGGCCTATAGTACATTAGTCCGCCCCAGCGAGTTAGTTTTTAAGCATTTTGTTGATCGTTATCTTCAGTTGGGTCCCTAGGGGATCGTCGATGTGTTTTTGACCTGTCGTTGTTGTCGCTTCGTACGAAACGTACCAAGCATGTACTCTTCCATGTGTTGCCCATCCCCGGGCTAAGAACCGGAATGGGAGCACCGGCCCTTTCATCTGTCAGATCCTTGATGACATCCCAGCATCCCTCCGCTCGAGATCTGATGCCAACAAGATGCTATTAACTAGTTACATAGTATAATTCTACACTTATGTATGGGGGCCATGCCACGCTCTCGGTTCTCGCTCGCGGCATTACCTCCAACTAGTGTCCTATTCAAGAAAAGCCATCCGCACATATATCGGTCCTTTTGGGAAGTTGTTAGATGCTAGCCTGTGCTGAAGACTGTGCCAACTACCCGATTTAGAATCGTCTTATAGCCGATTCTAGCCTAGTTCGAAACTAGATAATAAATATTATACTGTACTGGCTACAAGGGAATAGGTTGAGCCAACATCTGGAGAACTGTGGTTGAAGATTTGCTTGTTACAAACGAGTGGCATTTTCCGAATGACGCCCACATTGAAGGGCGTTATGCAAGCACATGGCCATAGTTCGAGTGGCCCTGAGGCGCTCACCGGTGTAGCTCTCACCGAAGACGATCGGGGATGTAGGTATACAACTTTTAATATACATGGTTTTACTCACCGAGTTTGCCTACGATAGGAGAGCAAACATCAACTGTTAGTTTTGTAGCAGTAATGCCACATGAATATTTCCCTACTACAATCAACCATCATAATTCATATATAGACGCATTACCAAAAGGGAGGGGTTTGGGGTGAACGAAGTCTTGATAATTAAGTGTCACCTGCAGCAGCCTTAAGACGTTGGCAGGCTTTCAAACCCAAGTAAGCTCAGGCCATTTTTTGACAGGCCGCGGCACAGTCAACGTAGTTCGGTCATTTGTGCCAGTGGTAAGTATACGATACGTTTCAAGACACGTTTATAGTGATGGCTAGATAATGTTGCTCCGGTGCATTGAGCACAGGTTCCTAAGCGTAGAATTTGCATATATTAGCTCTCAACGTTGCTTAAGCCGAGTTAGCGTTTTTAATTCCCCAAATCTAAGCCGTAGTATTCCAAACGACTGTATTTATAAGCATCGGGAAAGCGAATTTGGTGCCATTTCCCTAGACGAGGCTTGCTCAGAAGATGAGGTTTCATAGCCAGTAGTTAGGGGATGGTTGCCGTACTATAGTATGCGCGACTGATATGTCGAAGATAATTAGGCCAGCCTGTAGCCTGGTGAACTAACAATTGGTCAACGTTGAGGCAAGTGCTATATCTAACGATGTACTCGGCCAGAAGGGGCAACAGTTCTGCAGCCAGATGATGACTATTATGAGACATACAGTATGCATATTTCCGATACGCAGCCT